CCCCCCCCCCCCCCCCCAGTAATCGCACAAGAATGCGAATCCTGACTCTGCTTCATTACTCTCAGTGGAGCTGGTGGCCAACCCTGAGACCCGGACAGTGGCCGTAAAACAGGTAACAGGATCCCAAGGAGAACTAGAGGCCAGGGGGAGTCTGGGGGAGGAAGTTCAGCCTCGCAGGGGTGAGAGCCCAACAGGGGGAAACCGGATTGGCTGAAAAGGGGTAGCTGGTTCATGCATCAAAATACTAAGGGCTTAGAGAGCTCTGGTGGACTAGTGGCAAGAAGCTGCACTGCAATTCCAGAGGTGCGAGGTTCGAATCCACCTGCTGCAGAAGGAGGGGCAATCTCCTCCTGTACCCTTCAGATCTGATTTGATGGTACATACAAAAAAATAATAAAATAAAAATACTGTTTAATTTGCAGTTAGAATAAAGGCAGGGCCTTCCTCAGGTATCTGATTGGAGGAAAGTTCCCCATCTGGGCTCTTTTTCTTCTGCAGCTGGGAGTGAACCCTTCAACCGCCGGAACTCAGGAGCTGAACCAGGGACTGGAGGGCTCTCTGAAGGTGGGAGACACGCTGTACCTGGTCAATGGCCTGCACCCCCTGATTCTGCGCTGGGAAGGGACCGGCCTTCCAGGATCCCAGCCAGACACTCCGCCCGGCACCCCTCCGGCAAACACAGACGTGGAGGACGACGCAGAGCCCCAGAGAAAGAGGATGCGGAAGCCGCAGCCAGGCTGGGAGGACTTCGCCAAAATCCTGGTGTACACGGCACCCGGGGTGAAGGCTCAGAGCAAGGTGCGGGGGACTGCGAAGCTCCCACACAGGCTTGGGACTAAGTTTGTGGGGTGTCCGTTGAACAAGCCCCTAGACCTCTCTTACCCTCCACTTACCTTCTGCGAAATGGGCTTAGTCATCAGTCCTGGAGAAGACACTGTGCATCAGCTTTTTTTAAGCACAGTCCTTTTTCACATCTAAATGCTGCTTTCTCCCCATTTCCAGCAGAGGCCACTGCTCTTTGTCCCCATCTCTCTTCACTTCGAGCTACTAAGTGCGGGAAAATCACCGCTTTGGTTTTTTTTATGTTTTCAGAGTGATTTAATCAGCTACGGTAGAGGAGACCAGAGCGAAATAGTAATCCCCGTTTGCAGGAGTTTAAATTTGAGGGTTAGGAAAAATGGGAGCAAGGGAAATTCTGTTTGATTGCCAGCTGGGGGAATACTCAATGCACATGAGACGTTTCCAGGCTCCGCGCCTCAGTTTACCCACTTGTAAAATGAGGACGGTCAGAGTGCTTCCCTCATCGGGCGGCTGTGTCAGTCTGAGGGGCCTGACAGCTGCCATGCTTTTCTGTCCTGACACCAGGTAGCCAGCTTTGATCTGGATGGGACTCTCATCACCACACAGTCTGGGAAGGTCTTTCCAACCAGCCCCAGCGACTGGAAGTGAGAGGAGGAGAGAGGGAGGGAGAGGGGGCCCAGCCAGAGCCCACCTCCGGGCCCCAGGTCACCCTTGCTGCTTCCCCGATGGTCCTAGGATCTTATACCCAGAGATTCCAAAGAAGCTGCGAGAGCTGGAAGCTGAGGGTTATAAGGTGGGTGTGGAGGGGGAGAGCGGGAGGGTCACTATGCTTGCACTACACCCCCGTGCAAGGTGTGGTGGTCTGGCTTCTCCTCTGGGAGTCCCAGGCACGGAGGCACCCATCTCTCTCCTAGCTGGTAATCTTCACCAACCAGATGGGCATCGGGCGAGGGAAGCTACGAGCAGAGGACTTCAAGGCCAAGGTGGAAGCTGTGGTGAAGAAGCTGGGGGTCCCCTTCCAGGTATTGCAGGGAAGGTAGCTAAGGGCTCTGTGGGGTAAGAGATCTGGTGGGGGGGAGGGATAGAGTCAGGAAGACTGACACTTTGAGAGGAAACAGACCCTGGAGAAAGATCGAGGAGAGTAGAAAGAGAGGGATGTCCAGAGAACTGGGGATGGTAGAGCAGAGAGTTGGGGACAGACTGAGAGAGAGAGAGGGCAGAGACCTGTGGGGCGAGTGAGACAGAGGTCGGATGGATTTGGTGGACTGCAATCCATCATCATAAACTTTACATTCTGGGCTCTCTCTGGGCTTGGTGAGGGTTGGCATAGCATGCACTGAGGGCTCTGAACCCTGGAAGGTTGCCCGGTGCTCGAGGAGGCATCAAGGGTGGTGTCTGAGCCCCTGCCACCCACAGGTTTTCGTAGCCACCCATGCAGGCTTGTACCGGAAGCCGGTGATCGGCATGTGGGACCATCTGCAGGAGCAGGTGAGCCTCCGTCACCTCTGCCCTCGCCCCTTCCTGCCCCCTGGCCCCTGCCCGGCCTCCCTCTGCGCCCTTCTCTTCTCCTTCCTCAGCCCTCCTCCCATGGCCTCGTCCTCCTCTCATGCCCTGTTCCTTGCTCACTCATTTACGCACGTCCATTTGTTCTTGAGCTAGAAATATTAGTGAGCAGGGCAGACGCCCAGCCCCGACAGCCTTCACCGAGCAGAGAGGTCAGAGACTAGATAAATGCCTGGATTGATGCGTAAAAGCAGAGAGGAAATGAAGCCGGGCGAGCCGCGGTGGTGGTAGCTCAGGGAAGGCTGGTCTGTGGTGACAGATGACCCTGGAAAGCTGAGAGAAGCCTGGGTGTCTGGGGGGAAGGCATTCCGGCATCCCGGAGGGGGGGGTGTCAGTGGCCAGTGTGGCTGGATGGAGAGAAAGTGCAGAGAGGGGCCCACACTGCAGATAGCGGATAGTGTCCCAGGGTGGGAACCTAGGAGCCCCAGTGAAGGTGGAGGTACTGCACACTGGTGCCCTGTGGCATCCTCCTGGAGAACAGGCACGAGGCTGCAGGTGCAGGTGGTGGGACAGGAAGGGTTGGGATCCACCCTAAATGTTTAGTGGGAACAGAGGTTTAGAAAGGGCTCCTTACTGCCCATTGCCCCATCTTGTGTCCCCAGGCCAACGAGGGCGTGACTATCTCCATAGGGGACAGCTGCTTCGTGGGAGGTGAGAACCCCGGGGTTTATTGGGGGCACCCTCTTCGTGCCTCTCACACATGCTGAGTTGCTGATATTGAGAGGTTATATTTTATATATTAAATACCCCTCCGTGTTCCAGATGCGGCTGGTCGCCCAGCCAACTGGGCCCCCGGGCGAAAGAAGAAAGACTTCTCCTGTGCAGACCGCCTGGTGAGGCACCCTGTCCCAGGCCCACCGTCCCCGGGGAGCCCCGTCGTGCCCCCTTCTTACCTCTGCCTTCGTCCCAGTTCGCCCTCAACCTGGGCCTGCCCTTCTCCACGCCCGAGGAGTTCTTCCTCAAGTGGCCTGCCGCTGCCTTCGACCTCCCAGCTTTTGACCCGGTGAGGCCTGGGGCTGGTGGGAGGGGGGGGTGCGGGAGGCAGCTGGAGCCTCAGGTTACCTGTCTGGCTCCCCCCCAGAGGACCGTCACCTCCTCAGGGCCTCTCTGCCTCCCCGAGTCCAGCTCCCTCCTGAGCCCCGACCCGGAGGTGGTCGTTGCTGTTGGATTTCCTGGGGGTAAGATGCTGTGACCTCTGACCCCTTGGTGTCCCCAGGCCTTCTCCAGGGCCTAGGCACCCACTAAAAACACACCCTCACCCTCCCCCCACAGCCGGGAAGTCCACGTTCCTCACGGAGCACTTGGTGTCTGCCGGATACGTCCACGTGAACAGGGTACAAGGCTGTGTGCTGCGCCCCCATCCCGACAGTCCCCCTTCACGGTTCGGGGACCCAGCTCCCCCATGTCACTACTGCCTCCTTCCCTGCCATGCCAGGCCCCCTGTCCGGGGCTGCCTTTTCCTTTGTGGATCTTCCTTTTCCCAGGGTCTCCTCTCTCGTGTCCTCTAGGACACGCTGGGCTCCTGGCAGCGCTGTGTCAGCATGTGTGAGGCGTCTCTGAAGCAGAAACAGCGGGTTGTGATTGATAACACGAACCCAGACACGCCGAGCCGGGCCAGGTACCACCTGTGTACCACCCCCGGGCCCCCTCCAGCCTCTGCTTGGATGCCTTGGGGACACCAGACTAGCCCAGCTCCTTTCTGGCTCCCCAATAGGTACATCAAGTGTGCCCAAGATGCTGGTGTCCCCTGCCGGTGCTTCCTCTTCACCGCCACCCTGGAGCAAGCGCGTCACAACAACCGCGTGAGCCCCGAACCCCCTCCCCGGGCCCCTAAGTCCTCCCCAGGCCCTGCCTTACATCCTACTGTGTCCCCCCAGTTCCGTGAGATGACCGGCTCTGCCCACGTCCCTATAAACGACATGGTCATGTATGGCTACAGGTATGGACTCAAGGCCAGGGTGGGGTTGAGGCCCGCTGCCGCCGCACCCCCTCATCACTGCGTCTGCCGCAGGAAGCAGTTCGAGGCGCCCACCCTGGCCGAGGGCTTCTCCCAGGTGCTGGAGATCCCGTTCCGGCTGCACCTGGAGACGCGACTGGAGCGGCTGTACCGGCAGTTCTCCGAGGGCTGAGTGTGCTCCCCAAGAGCTGGAGCGGCTGCACCCACAGTTCTCCGAGGGCTGAGCCAGCTCCCCCCACAGTTCCCCGAGGGCTGACCCAGCTCCCCCCACAGCTGGAGCGGCTGCACCCACAGTTCTCCGAGGATTGACCCAGCTCCCCCCACAGCTGGAGCAGCTGTACCCACAGTTCTCCGAGGGCTGACCTAGTTCCCCCCACAGTTCCCCGAGGGCTGAGCCAGCTCCCCCCACAGCTGGAGCGGCTGCACCCACAGTTCTCCGAGGGTTGACCCAGCTCCCCCCACAGCTGGAGCAGCTGTACCCACAGTTCTCCGAGGGCTGACCTAGTTCCCCCCACAGCTGGAGCGGCTATACCCACAGTTCTCCGAGGGCTGACATGCTCCCCTCCTAACAATAAACGCAGTTTTCTCCTAGCCTGGCCAGTGTGTACAGGGAAGGACCCGTCCAGGTCGCCCACCGTCAGAGCTGGGACACGTCCCAACTATGAGTGGGGACAACGCTAAGGGCTCCACACCCGACTTCCCCCACATGGTGCTCAGGTGGCAACTTTATGGGACAGACCTCCCCACTCCGCGCGTGCGTTAAGTCTTGACCTTGTAGGACCCCTGAGGGCATGGGCCCTGCCAGCCCGTCCCACACGCAGTCTGGGCAAATGGGTTCTCCAAGACTGCAGTAACTGGGAACGGGATGCTCCCAGGCCCATTCTGCTCACCGGACCCTTGGAACACAGTGGTGAACCGGCGGGGGCAGCACCCGAGGTGCCCACTTTCCAGCAGGAAAGACCCCCCAGTTCAGCCAGCCCATCACCGGGCTCTCTTGCCCTGGGAGGCAAGGCGTCCACCACGGGGAACCTCAGATGGTCTTGCACAAGCGTCCCGCAGAACCCAGAATCACAGATGCACCTCCACCCTGCTAGGCCACCAAGGCACCCCACTTGGCCACTGAGAACAGAGTGTGGGGTTCAGCACAGCAAACGAGGGCGCAAGCAGGTTTTCGAAAGACTTTATTTGGACGTACGGCTCATCCGTGGGGCATCTCGGCACGCCGTCCTCTGTCTCACCGGGCGACTGCACGTCCCAGGGGCCCTGATTGGACAGGACCTGGCAGGCAGGACAGCGGGAATCTGGGCACGAGCTCCAGCAGCCTCAGTGCCTGCATCATCCCATCAGCAAATTCCCACCCTGCCAGGCCCAACGGGGTCCCGATAGCACAGGACAGCGCAGAGTTTAGGGCTGCTGTACACAGGGTCGCTATGAGTCACAGGAGACTTGACGGCACATACAACAACCAGCCCCAGTGGCCTGCCTGTCACTGCCGCCGGCCTGGCCTGTCTCTCTGGCCAGGGTCGCCCTGCTCCTCCCGTGACCTGGCCGAGATGGGCCCTGCACGCGCTCGGCCAGCCACTCACCAGTCCGCAGGGGCCTCGTCCTCAGCTCCTGGAGGCCTGGCCCACGAGGCCACTAACCCCCCATCTGTGGAGAGAAAGGCGAGTCAGCCCCGTGGACGGCCCGGGGGCCTGGGGGTGCTGAGAGCCGGGGCCCCCCCTCGCCGTGCCCCGCTGCCCTCACCCCGCGCTGCTGCTGCTCCTGCTGCAGGCTGCTCTGCAGGACGTGCTGCTGGTTGGCCACGACGCGGCGGATGCCGCTGACGAAGCTGCTCTGGTCGCGGGGGACGAGGCCGATGAAGATCTTCTTCTCCGAGGAGTAGAGGAGCATGAGCACGCGCACCTCGCACGACGCCCTGGAGGAGAAGTGCACGCAGCCGGCCTGCGGGCGGAGGTCTGTGAGCGCCCGGCCGGGGGGCCACCACCCCACTTCACAGACACACCACCGAGACGGCTGCCCGGGTCAGGGAGGACCAGGAGCCCCGGGACCTGCACCGTGTTGACTCCTGCTGAGACGCCGGCACCCCACGTACTCCCACACACGCAGGCTGAGGAGACCCCGAACACCCCGCGCTGAGACGCTGCAGGACTGAGCAAGTCATGCCTCCAGTGAGGTCCCAAGCACCAGGATGACCAATGTGCCTGACGGTGGCAGCGGCCTCGAGGGTCTCCACTCTGGGGGAGCCCTGCAGCCCTCATCCACTCGGGAAGGCAACCGGCCAGGGCACTGACACCACATCGCTGGGCACGAGCTGGGGACCCCAGGTGGCCACACGGAGGGCCTCCCGGGTTCCCAAGGGGGAACTGTTTTCAGACTCTTGACGGGATCCCACCCATCCAACCCTTGAGAGGCACACTCTCCCAGACGGTGCTGGCAGTGACTGCCACTTGAGACGTGTCCCTCCCCGCCCGACACATGAGAAACTGCGGCCAGAGAGGGAAGGAAGCCCAGCCCCAAGGGACAAGGAGTTCACGGGATGCTGAGGGCTTGGGGCGGGCCTCCCGACCAGGCCAGAGACCATCCTAAGCACTTGGGTCTTGGGGTGATACCCCAGAGTCCTTCAGAGCAGGAAGGCCCTTGGCTCTGAGTAAGCCACAGGCACCTGCTGATAAAAGCCTCCACTGGGCCTCAGTTTCCCCATCTGTGCAATAGGGTCATGGTGACCATAACCCTGCAGAGTTGAGCCACGCGGGACCGGGCTCAGTCTGTGTGGGTTACAGCGTTCTCTTCACTTTCCCAAACCCACCCCGGAAAAGCAATCAGTGCTGTTCAATTTCTCTTTCTACTTGAGCAGATCTGGTTTCTGAGGTTTGAACTCAGTTTGCAGCGAGGCCCATCCTTCCAGCTCCGACCAGCCCCGTGGTCGCCCCCCCATGCCCCTCACCCACTCACAAAACCGTTGTCCATGACCCGGCACAGGCTCTTGAGCGTCTCCACGTCCTTGGTGAAGTGGAACTGCACCAGCCGTGAGCTCCGGAACAGCGGCACCAGCGTGGTCTGTGGGGAAGGCACGTGGCAGCTCCGGGAGCTTGGGCACCTGGGTGGCTGGCTTTCAGCTGTCTCCACACCAGCGCCGAGAACTGACGCCCTTCCTGGCCTGCAGGCCAGTCGGCACCAGACACAACAGGCCTGGGATCAGACCAAGACGCCCTGTGCCTGCCTCACCAAACTCATCTGAGGGGATGTCCCCCCTAACATCTGGCCACCAGGAGCCCAGTGCCAGTCTTCAACCACCCACAGTTGTGAGATGTTCCACCATGTGGGCAGAACTCATGTCCCCAGCCCTTCCACACAGGGGTACACACCTCAACACAGCTCCACCACCACAGACCCTCTAGCCCAAAGCCTGCAGAGAACCTCAGGACCACAGCCTGGCCTGGGGGACATAACAGCTTCCTCCCTGGCCACAGCCTCAGCCACAGGGCCTTTGCACATGCTGCCAACCATCTATAGCGACCCCCTCTCCGGCTCCCACTCACCAGCAACTGCTGTGGTATGAGCTGCATGAAAAGCCTCCTGGGCCACTGCTCGGTCCTCCTACCGGGTCCAAGGAGACAGGGTTAGCAGGGGCTGGTCCACCCGAGGCCCCCCTACCCCGGGCACTCACAGGATCTCGCCCTGGTTCACGTAGATGTGGGATGGCAGCCACCTCTTGGAGCGGATGTTGGGCTCTGGTCTGGGCTTTGGGGGAAGAAAAGGGGACAGGGATCATCAGGAGAGGGGTGTTCCTTCGTCCCTCCGAGGCCACCCCTCTTCTGGCCACTCCATGCCACCACTCAACACCAGGAATGCCCAGCGCTCACCTCCTGCCACTCCAGGACCCCGCTCCACGCCAGGAATTTATTGCTGACCATCTGCAGGGGCCCTGCATTGACACCTCGGGGGCCCACTACCTGTGAGAGGGACAGTGGGCGCATGAAAGAGGCCAGGGGTGTCCCACCGCAGTCCCCGCCATGCTCCTCCCCAAGTCAGCCAGGCCTCTCCCCATACCTACCAGCCTCCCCGCTTGCCTGGCTAGAGTCTCCGCCCTGCACCTGCCCACATCACAACCCTTGTGGGGACCCAGCTTGGGGTGCAGAACCCAAGGGGTGTACTTCTCACAATGAACAGACCAAAGATTCCAAGCATAGCAGTCAAGGCCTAACTGAGGAAGCGGTGAACCAACCAGGGCACCAGCTCAGCTGCCAGGGATGCTCCCCCCACCCCGGGCCCCCCTCGGCCTCCAAACTACCCAGGCTCTTTCTGTACCTGCAGCACCCTGCCTGCATTCAATGCCTCCCTCAAGGGCCCCTATCAGGGATGGCTCCGGATGTCCCTTCAACCCTCATGCCCACCACGCCTCCCTGCCTCCTCCTGTCAGGTGGCCAGGCTGGGCCGTCACACCTGCTTGTGGGTGGTGATGACCTGGCGGATGCCGTTGACGAAGCCGCTCTGGTCGTAGGGAATGAGGCCCATGAACATCTTCTTCTTGGACGAATAGAGGAGCATCAGAACGCGCACCTCGCAGGGCGCCGTGTGGGGGAACAGCATGCAGCCCGCCTGCGGGTGACCAGGTCAGGTGGGTGTCACTCAGGGGCCTCGACGCCCTTCTCTGCCAACTCTGAAAGGCAGGGTCTCCCCAAAGATGAGTGTCCCCGGGTCCAGAAGCCCTGAGAGGTGGGTCTGGGGCCCAGGTATCAGCTGAGCAGGTGTGAGGGCCCCACGAGCTCTGCCCCAGCCCAGGCCTGACTGACAGCTGGGTCAGCTGACGGCTCCGGGAGGCCCGCTGGGTGCACGCACAGGACTTAAGACCAAATTCAAACCTGACCCTGCTTCCCAGCTCTGTGGCCTAACAGGAAGTCGCCTCATGTATATGAGCCCGTCTCCCCACTGGAAAACAATGACCAGAGTATACGCTGAAAGAGTACAGCGTCGAATGCTCCCAGTGGACAGCTCGCGACTTCTCTGTGGCACCTTAGAGAATACGGGCCTGGTAGGTGTCAGCGTCTGCCGCCTGGAACGTGGAGGGGCCCCTACAAGGTCGCCTTCTTGCTCTTCCGTCCCCTTCTTCCCCAACAAAATGCTGGCACCTCCCCTCATCCACCAACCAGGCCACTTCCTCATCTATTTGGCATTTCCTGTCCTCTAAGTGACCAAGTCTGGGTGGCTAAGGTTTAGCATGCAAAACTGTCTTTCCTAGCCAAAAGATTAACCATTTGTTTTATGGTGAAATGATGACTGTATTAAGAAGAGCAGATGTCACGTGGATTGGGGGTGGGGGGAATATGCAAATAGGGCATGTTAGCCTATCCACAAGGGGATTGGCCAGTCTCAACAGTCTACAAGAGGACTGGTTAGGCGAGCTCTGGTGGCCTAGTGGCAGGAAACTGCACTGCAATCCCAGAGGTGCGCGGTTCAAATCCACCAGATGCTCTGCTGAAGAAGGAGGAACAATCGCCTCCTGTACCAGTCAGATCCGATTTGACGGTACACACACATAAAAAAAAAAAGAGGACTGGTTAGTCTCGTTAATGAATAGAGCAAGGCAGAGTGAGAGAGATCATCTGGAACCACTAAAGAGACCCTAGATGACTACAGTGTCTACAGGACACACTTCTTACTCAACTTAGGGCTGAACTGGAGACCTGATGAGACCTTGGGGGCAGGAAAGCCATTATTGTAGGACCCAGAACTTTGGAACAATAGCCTAGAGCCCCAAGTCTCTGGCTGCATGTACATTTCGGGAGCTGTCTTAACTCTACTGTGTTATTAGGTGGATTATAACCTTTTGACTTCCCTAATATGGGACGTCAGGCTGGAGATTAAGGTGCGCCTGATTCGGGCTACAGTCTTCGCAATTGTGTGCTATGCATCGGAGAGTTGGACAGTGAATAGGGCTGATAGAAAGAGGATTGATGCCTTTGAGCTGTGGTGCTGGAGAAGAGTGTTGAATATACCATGGACTGGTAGGAGAACAAACAGGTTTGTCCTAGAGAGGGTGAAGACAGAATGTTCCCTGGAGTCAAGGATTCTGAAGCCTCGTCTGACATACTTTGGGCATGTTGCAAGGAGGCACTGGTCCTTAGAGAAGGACATCATGTTTGGGAGAGTGGAGGGACGGCGCAGGAGAGGAAGACCCTCAATGAGATGGATCAATTCTGTGAGTGGAGTGGTGGGAATGAGTGTGTTTGAGACAGTGAGTTTGGCACAGGACAGAACGGTGTTTAGGACTCTTGTATATAGGGTCGCTATGAGTCACAAACGACTCGATGGCACATAACAACAACAATATGGTTCTGTGTAGTTTGTGAGCCATCGCTTCAGATTTTGGACCCAGCAAAGCAGTAAGATTGGTGTTGAGATGAATAAAAAGAGCTATGAGAGCATGGGGGACATGCTGGACCTCATGGGAATTGGTGTTGTGTTACTGATGCTGTCGATGGGGACAGTTCCCCTTTGTGAAGGTGGCAGAGGTCAGACATGGCTGTCCCCATGTGGTCCTCGCTCTCTTCACACCAAGTACCCCTGTCTCTCTCAGGTGTGGGCCACCACCCTCACCCCCAAGGATGGTGAGCCCTGGGAAGGTGCCCTCAGCAGCCAGCAGCTGAACCTTCCTGTCAGTCGTGGCTGCAGCCTGTACGGGGAGCACGCGTGGGGAGCGGCCAGCGGGTAAACGGTGCTGGTCCCTGCCCCCAGGCTTGCCTGGCTTCCCTGCACCCCCTCGCAGGGTGCTGCTCCACACACACAGACACAGGGCAGGACGTGAGGGGCCTGGCCTCTGCGTCCCTCGTCCTGTCCTAGGATCTCCCACAGGAGCAAGTATACCATGCTGGCTTCACTGCGTCACACACAACACACAAGACAACTCTTTCAGGCCTGACCCCACGGGGCAAATCCCCTTACCAAGCCCATTCCAGAGAGGAGAAAACCCTATCGTGCACCTAGATCACTCTCTCCTGCTCCTCCTGGCCACTCTGCTGGTCCCAGACACGCCCTGGGCGCCTCGGCTCCTGCGTTAGCTCTGAAATGACCCAAGGGTTCCTGAGGAGAACAGGGACTGGCTGACCGCCGTGAGCCTTCTGAGTGCGTGCATCGTCCACACACATACACACACACACACACACACACACCCACTGCCGTCCGTGCACACCGTACACACACACACACCCACTGCCGTCCGCACACATCGTCCACACACATACACACACACACACACACTGCCGTCCGTGCACACCGTACACACACACACACACACCCGCTGCCGTCCGTGCACACCGTACACACACACACACACCCGCTGCCGTCCGCACACATCGTCCACACACATACACACACACACACACTGCCGTCCGTGCACACCGTACACACACACACCCGCTGCCGTCCGCGCACATTGTCCACACACACACACACACCCGCTGCTGTCCGTGCACACCGTACACACACACACCCGCTGCCGTCCGCGCACATTGTCCACACACACACACACACCCCCGCTGCCGTCCGTGCGCACCATACACACACACACACACACCCGCTGCTGTCCGTGCACATCGTCCACACACACACACACACTGCCATCCGTGCGCACCGTACACACACACACACCCACTGCCGTCCGCACACATCGTCCACACACACACACACTGCCGTCCGCGCGCACCGTACACACACACACACAACCCCGCTGCCGTCCGCGCACATTGTCCACACACATACACACACACACCCCCGCTGCCGTCCGCGCGCACCGTACACACACACACACACACCCGCTGCCGTCCGTGCACACCGTACACACACACACACCTGCTGCCGTCCATGCGCACCATACACACACACACCCCCCACTGCCGTCCGCACACATCGTCCACACACACACACACACACACACTGCCGTCCGTGCACACCGTACACACACACACACACCCGCTGCCGTCGGCGCACATCGTCCACACACATACACACACACACACACACACACCCGCTGCCGTCCGTGCACACCATACACACACACCCCCACTGCCGTCCGCACACATAGTCCACACACATACACACACACACACACACACACACACTGCCGTCCGTGCGCACCGTACACACACACCCACTGCCGTCCGTGCACATCGTCCACACACACACCCACACACCCACTGCCGTCCGCGCACATCGTCCACACACACACACACACTGCCGTCCGTGCGCACCGTACACACACACCCACACCCACTGCCGTCCGCACACATCGTCCACACACACACCCACACACCCGCTGCCGTCCGTGCACACCGTACACACACACACCCCCGCTGCCGTCCGCGCGCACCGTACACACACACACACACACACACAC